GATTTCGGGCCTCTGATGTGACCTCAAGCAATCGATATAGCGAACTGGCACTGGCATACGAAGACTACTTATTCATATCTGTACTGGCGTCACTGATGTCTAACTGCTTCCTACATACTATAACTGTTACATGTTTTGCGGCCGATTTACATCTGACGACAGTTGAAGTAAGTGTTGGAAGCTCAGAAAAATGATTCTGGTGATCGAAAAGTCTTCTTTTTCCCTATTTCCAATTCACTTTTATACAACTGAGCATTTTCATTCTCGACCTAAAAAATCTGGCCCTTAACTCTGAAGTGTGAGCGTTTTTCGATTATAAGCTAGCTGGAATTCAAACCTCGGACGTGGCTTTTTTACAATTAGGGTATTTCTGGCCGATAACGGCCAATAAATGGGACATAATCATTTCGGGTTTTCCTATCGTTGCCGGTAAAACCTCTTTGAAAAACTCCCTTTTATTGCAGCAAACATTTACCATTTATAAGGCAGACTCGAGGGCCTGAAAACTGGGTTTTGTCCGTATTATCAGCAGCAAAACGCCCTATGTATAGAAACATTAACCAACACGGCACTGAGAAGTTTTGATATTGTCTGTTCACCTACCGGATAGAACTAGATGTTCTGTCAAAAACTTTGTCATTGATACATCGAAGGGCTGTTCGTGCATGAAAATTGTGGGTTGTGTCATAGAATAGAGCATCAGCCGTGTATGAAATTGCAGTTCTTTCTGAATGCTATCGAGACAAACAGCAGCATAGATGGATCTCAAACTGGGTCTTGTCTGCGTATTCGAACCCGATCGGAAGTTCGTAGGTACGTTTGTCCAGCGGAACAGGAGGATGGATTTTTCTGGGCTAATTAAGACAGCTGGAAGTTTCGGGATCCGTTGATGGAGACTGAGCATGGATAGATCCTTTAGAGGGCTATCCCGAGGAATGCATAAATCGGTTTGATAGAGGAACGCTTTGGTGTCTGGGCACCAGGCACTGAGAACAGCAAAACAATCAGTTCTGTTTGACTGTGTAGGTGCCGAAGCGATGAGGAAAACTTGTTCATAGGCAAAGATGTTCCAAACAGGATTCTTTAGTTGAAACTGAATCTTTGCTCCGGTACCCGGACAAGGTAGTGCCCATAGCGTGAGATCTTTTCCAAAGCCTGCAAGAAGATACTGGCTTCGTTCTAGCAGTGCAAAATCAGCCGAATCTGGAAGATTGTCTTGGACTGAGGACAGCTTTTGCGTGAGTGTCTCTCGGCAAGTTCCATCCTATTGGGAAGACATAAGAACATTTAACGCATTAGATTTTGAAATATATTAATCATGCGTCACATAGTAGCCGTATTACAGGCCACACTGGAAGCAACTTAAAAATAACCTCCAAAAGACTATCCCTGTAATTATGTGACTTACTGAAGGCAACTTGTAAATCTCATGAACTGAGACTGCATTTGAGGAGATGTTTCGAAATCGAGGGACCTCAACGTCCCTCGGTGGGTCTATGTAAAAGTTGGCGTTTATTGGTTCCATTTATTTTTAAAACATGTACAAAAGGAGCCCAACAGCGAACACTTCATCCAACGATATCACCCAGTGAAATTAGAGAGTAATTATCATGTCAATAAAGAACATAAATCACGAAATTGCAGCAATTAACCCAAATTCCGACATCAAGCAATCGCTGTACCATGTGCGGCCGTTGGTGATGATTGTGACGGTAGAGTAAAATCATCGAGTATAGAAGTTGGCTTATTCCAGTATTACAAATGTTATTATAAAGTGGCAATCTGCACCCTGTTTGATGTTGAAACTTCAATCTATTAAGCCTTTTAGGGAACACCATTCAGTGTTTTGTGAGGACTGCATCAACGAGTTTCTGGTGCGTAGAAGAATAAAGTAGGATAAGGCGAGAGGAATTGAGT